TTCCACGGGAGTCAATCTTGTCTCTGGGGAAGCCATTCCAGAGGAGCATGGCCATCACAGAAAAGCAATGCCCCCTAGAGACGGGAACAACTAGCACATATGTGTGAGGGGAACCTTTACCTTTTACCTGCTGTGTCAGTTGCAGCTCTATCTGGGAGTATTTTATCACCTTGACTCCTGCCCACATCACCATGCATATGGACTGCTGTAGTAGATTCACATGGGCTGCCTTTGAAGATCCTCGAAAACGGCAACTCATTCAGAATGAGATGTTTCATACATTGTCCTGTCCGGCATCTGGTGCTTCATTTATGTGATGTCAATTCTCCAGAATCTGTGCTGGTTGCCATTAGGTTTCCACAAGCCCTTGAGTGGGCTGGTTTTATGTTATAAAACCTGGTATGGCTTGTCCCTGGATATTTTCAGGACTGCCTCCACCACTGGATTCGGTTTACCTGAGACATCTTTCCCAGGAGAAACTGTGGGTCGTGCCCTGTACTGGGAAATGAGAGGGCAGATCTCAGGGGCATTGCTTTTCTGTGATGGCCATGCTCCTCTGGAATGGCTTCCCCAGAGACAAGATTGACTCCCGTGGAAATAACTTTTGGTAACTTGTGAAACTGAGTTATTGTGGAGAGCCTGGGGGCAAACTGTAACACCCTTAAGGTTATGTGATGTGATGTTTTTTAATGAACTGGATGCTTGGTTTATTTCATAATTGTGAACTGCCAAGAATCCTGACATGTGATAGAATATAAATGAAATGCCATACAGGTAGTCCTCATTTATTGAAACTCATCAACGACGGAAATTACAGTGGCATTAAATGAAGGGTACCTACCATGGGTTCTTTAGGTGTGGCCATCACAGTGTCCCCGTGGTCACGTGGTTGTGATTTGGTCACTTAGCAACCAACTCCCAATTACAGCATTGCAGAATCTTGTGGTCACGTGATCATCATTAATAACCTTCACTACCAGCTTCTGACAAGCAAAAGTCAATGGGGAAGCTGGCAGGAGGTCTCAAGTGATCCCACGACATTGTGCTTTACATAGCAGAGAATTGATTTAACAAAGGCAGTTAGAAGTGCTGGAACTGCCGTCATGTAAGTAGAACAGTCACACGTCGCTCTTTGTGACGGTGTCGTTGGGTGATGGAAATTCTGACCCTAAATTGCCATGGTAAAGTGAGGACTTCCTGTAACATGGTTCTCTTCCCTATCTCTAGCAAGCCAACTTCCTCTCATGTTTTTTCTTTCTTTCTGCTCTCCATTTCAGCCAAACCTCTTTGAGAACAGTGACCCTTTCCTAACTCTGAGCATGTCTTCTTCGAAAGGGCCAGGTAAGAATAGAGGTGTTCTTCCTTTCCGCTTCTGCTTGACAAGTTTGAATTCATCGTTTATGCTTTGGTATTTCCCATCGTCCATATTTCCTTCTGTACACTTCCATTCAACTTCAGCCATTACTCCCTTGTTTCCCTGAAAATAAGATCTATTCCCAAAAATAAGACCTGGTATGTTTTTCCTTGTGCTGCTAATATAAGCCCTACACACATCCCAGAATAAGCCCTACTTAAGAGCCTTCACAGCCGGCCACCCACCCATTCCGTCTGGTTGCTCATGGTGTCACGGCCACATGGTGGGGAGGTGGAGCCGCCCCTCGCACCGCGCATGGCCCTACCTCAGGGCCCCCACAGCCAGGCCATCTATGCCCGGACACCTGCCTCACAATGGTGGCCCTAGCAACCATGTGCAGCAGGAATCCACGTGGCCGCTTGCCCATTTCTTCTGCTGGCTTATGGCCGCAACAGAGCAGGAGGCTGAGCGGTGTGCCATGCTTATTTTG